ATACGAAAGTAGAGCCGAGTCAATGGATTATGATGGTGTCTAAGGTCTGTTTGTGAGTGCAAATTCGATAGTACCTGTGAGGTATTGCAGGATGCGGAGAAGAGCTGTGTAGTGTTCCTTCAGTGGTTGATTGTTAAAGGTGGCTAGTTGGCTTAGAGAGCATGCGATGTCTACACGAGTCATGTTGGCTGCATATTTGAGCGCCCCAAGGAGACTACAGTACTTGCCAGTGAAGGGAGGGCCGGTAAAGGTACCAGGATGTAACGTTGTGCCAGGTGTCGGTTTGGTGGGGAGATCGTGTGCGTGGAAAACGTCTAGCATACGTTTGATGTAAGCATCCTGAAAGAGAGAGATGGAGCCGTCAGTATGATGAATGATTCGGAAGCCGACGGCATGGCGTGCCAAACCAAGATTGGTGAGGAGGTGATGGTTGGAAGTGATATCGAACAGCCACAAGGCGTCAGCAAGGGATCGAACCGCTGGAAGAATCTCATCAACGTAGATGCTGAGGGCGAAACGGCGAGAATCATGGATCCATATACACTCACCCGCCGCAGATTGGGTAAAACCAGCAAGGTTGAGTTTATCACCAATATCGTGGTTCCAGATACGACCAGCTTGTTTAAGGCCGTAAAGGCCTCGACAGAGTTTAAGCACGGTGTTAGCGGAGTAATGACCAAGTTCACATGACCCCTTCGGGGGGTGTATGTACACTGGAGTGTCAAATTTGTCATAAAGAAAAGCAGACGTAACATCGAAGTGGTGGACTTGAAGGTGATGAAAGGCAGCGATGGCGAAGAAGAGACGAAGGGTGGCGGCAAGGGCGGCGGGGGCATAGGTCTCTGTATAACTGTCGCCATGCTCCTGTTGGTCGCCTCGAGCGACCATCCGAGCCTTATATCGTGAAAGATTTCCATGTTCGTCATGTTTTAGGGCAAACACATACTTGCTGTGGATGATTTTAGCGGAGGCGGGTACAGATGTAATGGGGACCACTTCAGCTAACTCATTTCGTATATGATTCTGATATTCAGTTTCAATAGCAGCTTGTCATGACGGCCAGGAGGTAGATTTACGGGCGGGGGCAATAGACTTGGGGTCAGTGGGGTCAAAAAGGGTGGGGGCTTCGGCGAGAGTCATATCGGATCGGTTGCTAGGGGCGACGCTTCGAACAGTTGAGGTGGAGTAACAAGGGATGGGTGTATGGAGATTAGGACAGGTCTGGAGGAGGCGAACGGAAGCAAACGTAGAGTCGGGGTCTGGGGGGTCGCGGAAAGTGGTGGTAAGGGGGGAGTAATTCGTGACGTTGAGAGTATCGAGGAGTGAGCTGGGAGGAGATGGGAGAGGGCCAGGGCAGGAGAGTGGACGGGGGTGATCCAAGAGAGGTTGAGGGAGGTTCAAGAAGTCGAGGCGGGAGAGGAACGGCTGGCAGCATGGGGGGGATGTACCCTGGAGGATAAGTATTGCGTGGTTGACGAAGCGGAGCCAAGAGGTCGGCTGTAGAGCGGGTTGCGAGTTGGCGGTCGGTAGGTACTGGAGGTGGTCCAGGAAGTTGCAAAGGAGGAGATGCGGAAGGTAGAGCAAGTGGGAGCACTGATGGAGGAGGGAGGAGGGGTGAACGATGATATGGACCAGGGGTGCCAGGAAGGTAGGGCGGCGGGGAGGGGGGGGCGGAGGGGGCTGACGACAATACCACGGGATGTAGGGGGGGTAATGGGGAGTGAGGATACCGGATTGGTGCCGGACGGGAAGAGTAGAGAGGCGTGGGCTGAGGAGAAGGTGAGGTTACTGGCGTTGCCGGAGAGGGTGCAGTAGGAAGAGCTTCTTGTACTACCGAATGGGGTAGAGAGAAGGGGATAGCTGCTGGGGGGGGGGGGTTCCGGAGGAAGAGTCTCTTGAAGGACAGGTGGGGGAGGAGAGAACGGAATAGTGGCTGAATTGGGCTCGGAAGGGATGTCCATTTGCTGGAAGGTGGGCGGGGACCAAATAAGAGTAGAGTCAAAGGTTGGAGGATGTGGCTCTTGTTTGACGGAGGGTGGAAGAGGGGAGAAAGGGTCAGGGGCCGGTTCAGGTGGCAGTTGTGCCTGCGTCAGTAGAGGAGGAGGTGTAAACTGGGATGGTGAGTTAAGTGGGGCGTGGAATAGTACTACTACATAGTAGACATTCTAGTAGACACGTTGTATGCGCAGACAGCGGACGATCCCATTGAGTGGGTCCGGTGGAGGGGCGGACGAAGATGCCGGTGTTGGTGGATGAGAGAAGAGAGCATCAGTTGGTTCCGGCTCAATGTTGGCTTGAGTAATAGGTACCAGGGGTTGATGCGGGATAGAGGAAGTACTTGAGTCAGAGGATATAGAAGGGGAAGCAACGAATGGGATAGAGTCGGTCACGGACGAAGTAAGTTGATGCCAGTAAGCCGGTATCTGATAACTAGACGGTGTATGCGACCGGGTAGCCGTCCTTTTATCTGGATACCATTGCGGGTTCTCTTCCGGATAGAATTGGAGGTCTTGGGTTTACAATTGCATTTGAGTAGCCATAATTTATATTATATAACAATGGGGAGTAGAGTTGATACTGAGGTCAAGGAGAACACCGTAACCAACAGCAGGGAGATACTTAGAATGACGCATTGCGGCGGGGCCGTGGAGCTTAAAGGCCACAACATATCCAAAGCGAGCGCGAGGGTTGCGTTTGGGGTCGATTTGGAGGAACGTGTGATATGGGGTGCGGATGTTCTCATCTTGAGCGAGTGTAGTGTTGCGAATATAATCGACAAGGGACCTAGCATAGCCCCAGAGTGTTAGAGGCATACCCGGATCGATGAGGACACGGACGAGGTTATTGAGCGTGTCGTGTGGACGTTCAACTTGGGCGTTTTGTTGAGGAGAGTAGGGAGGGGGTGCACGGAGTTCAATAGGCCGAGAGTTGAGCATTGACTTGACATGTTGACTATGAAATACTTGATCATTATCGGCGATGAGTGTATTAGGAACCCATTGAGAAGGAACACGAGTGAGGAGATCATCAACATTGTGATGCATAGAGGCCTTGTGCGGAAGAAGGGCGTGGAGACCAAACCGGGAGGCCCGCATCAAACATGTTAAGAGCGTATTCGTTTCCATCACGATCAGGCGGTAATGGACCTTGAAGGTCAATATTAAAGCGTTCGCTAAGACCATAGAGGGTATTGGTGCTGGTATGGCTATTACTATCGGCACGAATCTTCCCGTGTTGCAATGATTAGGGAATTTGGGGTTAGCTTTGTAGCCAATTGCAGTGCGGATCTCAGTATCTGGAGAGACGTGAGAATGTATCGGGCCAGGGATCGTGACTAGGGTGTAAATCCATGTGGGCTTGCCGACAGCAGTGGATCCGTGTCTAAGGAAGGTTGAAGTCGTATTCTGGATAAAGTATGGCTGGGTCTGCATATGTGCAAGGAATACGTCCCACCAGGGGGCACAAGGACGAAGAGGGACCACAATGGCGAGTAGAGATCCAGCCTTGATATTTGCATTGATGATATCGATAAGCTCAGACCAGTGGGGGTTTGCATAATTACGTTCTTTGCTGACGTCCACTTTATGCCAGTCTAGTGCAATGCCGGAGCCATCAGGGGCTACGTAGCGGTGCAGCTAGTGCGAGTGTTTGGAGGCGCATAGGTCGATAGTGTGTAATGCCTTCGCAGCGTACCATGCGAATTGTGGTACGTTTGCTTCGGTGTCCTGTTGAGCGGTGATATGCACCATACGTCATGGTGTTATCAGGGGTGTCAGGACGTTTATCTTCTAGTGGAATTGGTACTACGGGGGAGTTAGGTGGAAGTGGCGTATGTGCAGATTGTTGTCGTACAGCTGTAGTAGTTAAGAGTGAAGGTAGGTCGGGGTAGCGGATATAATTGCTGCCTGAGAGACTACAGGTCTCGGGCCAGATTTTACAGCAAGAAATCATCTTTGATTTATGGAAGTCATCAGAGTTAGCTCACTCCCGAGAGCTAAGTCATCAGAGTAAGCTCACTCCTGAGAGCTAAGTCATCAGAGTTAGCTCACTCCCGAGAGCTAAGTCATCAGAGTTAGCTCACTCCCGATAGCTAAGTCATCAGAGTTAGCTCACTCCCGAGAGCTAATCAAGTTGCTCAAATTACCCCCAAGAGTTGAGTTATTACTTAACCGACTTGCGAGAGCATATTAAGTTTCTCAACCGATTCCCGAGAGTGGATTAAGCCTGTCAACCGCAACATTCGAATAATAGCTGCGGTTCTATGTGAGTCACAACCTATGTTAGTTGCAGAGAAGTTGAAATAGAAAAGCATCGAAGAGTTAAAGTGTTCCGCACATGGTTTCTCATACTGACCATATGAGGTTTTACCCTGGCCAACCCAAGCGGCTGAACACTAGCACAAACACCTTAGGTATAAAACCAAAGGTGAGGTCATAAATAAATAAATACATTTGCACTTTATTTAAAGTCTACTACATTGCTCTCTACCACTGCCATTCACACGAGGAAGCTGCAGAGTGGTATTGTGCTTAGTGAGGTGGCAGAGCTGTCTGTTGGCTGGAAAAATGAGGGAGCAGCCGGCGTCCTGCAGATTATTTTGCGCGATGATCCCTTGGGCGATAGTAGGGTCGAGATAGGTAAGTCCAAGGAATGGGAGGTATCCACGGCAGGTGATATGTGGAACACAGTCGTTGGCGAGTCTAAGGGGTAAACGACCATGTTCTATGCGCTGAAGAAGGTGAAGGGCTGACTGGGGCATATAGTTGACAGTAGCTCCATTGTCGATCAGAAGGGAATCGTCCGCCGGAGTAGAGGTAGTGGCTCTGACTACAAGTATAGTAACACGTGCTAAGAAAGGCATTATATATGGGAAATTCTTTTATTTGATCTTTTAGAACATAGGATATCACAATGGTCTTTCTTGGTACATACAGAGCATTGGAGATTGGAAACAGTGCAGTCGCGGCCGGTATGGGAGAGGTTAGCATATTTTCCACAAGCTTTCGGGCAGAGAGAATATGTGTGTGCAGTGCTCCAGCAGACGTAGCATTTCATCTGGCGAGAATTAGGACGGACAGATGGTTTACCAGCAATGTCGGTGTTGAGACGAACAAGCTGCTCCATGGTCGGACGTAGGTGCAAGGTTGGCAACAGAGGCGACTTGGTGTTGAGACATTGGAGGTTTAAATGATTTTGTCCATTTCTCTAGATGGTCACATATATTTGTAATTGTGATCTTTTCACGGGATCTTATCTGAGAAAGATAGACGTTGGGATCTGAGCCTGTTGTGCTGAAGGGAGCCCATCGATGAATATATTCTGCGCGACTATAGGACCGTAAGTAGTGCCTTGTGACGCTGCGATGTCAATAACCTCTTAACAACTAGTGGAGTCTAATAATCTTTATTTACAGAAAAACTTGAGGTTTATTGTATATTTGTCGTAGATTATATAACAGGCCCTAAACCCATTATATTGTATTTAGTTGGGACAACTATAGAGGACCTGGGTGGTCCTTGTACAAAGGTGGACAATAAACAAAGAGGACCGGGGATGTCCTTATAAAGAAGTGGGGAGCGATGCTACCCCGAAAACAACGCTGAGACCAGTCGCGGAGAGATTCAGAAGGGTCGCGGTTGAAGGCACGACGGTAGTTCGCATCAATGATTTCATATACCAGATTAGATTGGTGTTGAAATCTGTTCTTGAGGGTCTGGTATAGGGTCCAGGGATGTTGAGAATTGATAGCAGCGGTCAACTTAAGTCGTAGTTTCTTAGAGAGGGTACTGAGGAGCAGAGTCTTAGTGCGCTGATACGAAAAATTAGCTTTAGAGGACACAATAAAGTCTCGAGCTTGGACGATACGTTCTTGTTCAGTGGTCCATTCAGGCTTGGGAGTCTCCATAATGTTGGCGACATTCTCGTCATGATTTTAT